AAAAGGGGTAGGGAGGGGGAGGGCAGGCGGAAGGGTAGGGGAAGAATGGCGAGGAAAAGGTGTCACAATTGTGGAGGAGGGAAAGGTGGGGGATTTGGCGGGGGGGAGGAGGGGGGGGAATCAGGTGTTGGAATAGGGGGTAGGAGGAGGGAGAAGGAGAACCTTGTATGTCAGCTACTGCTGCTCTCACATTGTGTTTTCCGCCGTCCTGGGGCGAGGGCACCACTGCTGTTGATTGCCCTCCATCGGATTGGTTCATGGTAGACGGCGCAAGAACATCAGAGCAGCTGTGTGAGCTGCCGTGTAAACTCTGTGAGGTGCGGGATTTGGGCCCTCCCCACCGTCCTAGGGAGAGGGGTGCCGCTGCTGTTGCTTGCCTTCCAACGCATCGGCTCATCGGAGATGGTGCAAGGACGTCATAGCAGCTGTGTGAGCTGCTGTGTGAACTCTGTGAAGGGGGGGATTCCTCCTGCCGTCCTGGGCAGAGGGGCACCTCTGGGGTTGCTCGCCTTCCATTGCATCGGTTCATCCGGGATGGTGCAAGGATGCCAGAGCAGCTGTGTGAGCTGCTGTGTAAACTCTGTGTGAGATGGGGGATTTGGAATTTTTTGGACCCTCCCACTGGCTTAATAAAAAAAAAAGGAAGAAGACCAATGGGGTTAGCTCAGTTGGTTCAGCCACAACCTGTTGAATTGCAGACCTGAGTTCGAATCCAGATGGAACCAGCTGAACAAAACTCCTGAATTATCTTGGGCTAGTTAGTTTCACGATGATATCTCAAGACTGTCGCCCTTTTTTTTTTTTTTTAAATCTGTTTTTGATAACTACCAACTAGTTATAATACTAACTAAATTGTTTAAAACTTTATGTGTCTAATTGTCAATTAAAGTTATTAAACTCAATTGACTTCTTTTTTTCTTTTCTTTTTTTTTTTTTTTTTTTTTTTTTGGTTGAAACAGGTCCTTATGGTGCTGTTTGGTTGAAACAGGTCCTTATGGTCCTGTACTAATTTACTAATTTTAATTTTACTAATTAAGTAATTTGAATTTTGTAGTAATTTCATTTCCTGTTTGCGTACTTACAGGTCTCTTTTCTACGGTACATTCGACAGTGGGGGAAGAAAGTGGTCTTTATCCTGAACAAGGCAGATGTGCTGGGAAGTGAAGTAGAGGTGGGTAAGTGGTTAAAAGAAAGAGAGAGAGAGAGAGAGAGAGAGAGAGAGAGAGAGAGAGAGAGAGAGAGAGAGAGAGAGAGAGAGAGAGAGAGAGAGGTGGGTAAGTGGTGAGGTTCTGCTGCTGCTGCTTTTTCTAGTGATCTTAAACCACATCTGAGCCTTTTTCCGAACCAAAATGACGCATTCCAAAAAGTGGTTACAAAGTGCGAAAAAACTGTAAAATTGTTCAAATTGTAATTGTTAATCATCAATAAATATCAAATGAATTGAAATAATAATGTAAGATAAACTTAAGTGAAACAGTTTTCACCTTTGGCAGTAGCCGATGCAGATCCCAGGGGTCGATCCCTTGACCTCAGCTTACCTGTGTACAGTATCTGCACAGTTCCCTGGAGTTGAACCCGTGACCTGCACGATAGCCAGTGGTAAGTAGGTC